GCGACAAGAATTTTCCGTCGAAAATGTTCGGTTCAATTCAACCGAATTGGTTCAACTTACCTTGGATCTTCTCGGCAATAATTGCAATGACTTTAAAACAGCTAAAAATCATGATTTTTTTGATTAATTTAAATAAATCAGTGATTTTTTATTTTTTTAATAAAAATAAATTTTTGCCCAACACTGTTTCACAGAACCATGGTTTATGAGTCCCACAAACAACCATACAGTTTATGTGTTTGCTGAAAATTCTCACCTCTTAAAATTGACCAGAAATAATTTTTAAGATTATGGATTTATAATTAATGATTTTAAGAAAAATGGACAAACCGTTGATATTTCACATAATTAAAGCAGTAGAGGAAGCCGGATTCTATGTTTGTGCCATCGTCAGCGACCTAGGCGGCAGTAATAGGGGTCTTCATAAAAACTTGAATATTACTTTCACAGAACCATGGTTTATGAGTCCCACAAACAACCATAAAGTTTATGTGTTTGCTGACGTTCCGCACCTCTTAAAATTGACGAGAAAAAATTTTTTAGATTATGGATTTATAATTTATGATTGTAATATAGATAAAACTACAATTCTTAAAGTACTAGAGCTGACATCTGAGTCAGATTTAAAGATAAGTCATCAAATAAATCCACAATTATTAAAGGTCGAGGGGCCTCAAAGGCAAAAAGTTAAGTTTGTAGCTAAGCTTTTTTTCCATGCATGTCCCAGTCTATTAAAAGATGTGGAACAATAGGTTATTTTGGAGAGAATGAGTCCTGGATATAGTGCGCTAAGTTTTTTAAATTGGTAAGAATTTGACTTAAACTTATTTTTTCATTTTTTGGTAGGTTAACGACTGGTTTGATTGTCTCAATCTGAGAGTGCCACATTCAGACACAAAAGAAAGGGTACACGCCTATGGGCTCCATTTGGACCTACAAAATGGTATACTGGAGGAAATGTCAAATATTATGAGTAGAATGAAAGTAAAAGGAAAAACGTCTATGATGCCATTCCAAAAAGGTTTTTGGAACAAATTTAAATGTAGTGATAACAAACTATACTTAATTTTACGTATAATACAAACTAACAATGCGCTAAAAAATTTATATTTAGACTTAAAGGAACGCTTTGGACTTCGCTACGTTTTGACATATAAGTTAAATCAAGACAAATTAGAATTTTTTTTTGGAGTAATACGACGAATTGGAGGCTTGTATGATCATCCAGACATTTTGGAATTTAAATAGCGACTGAGAAGCAAATATTCTTGGCAGAAATAAAGGATCTATTACGGAAGAAGGCAATACTGAAGATGATCAAATAAGAGACAATTTATTACCAAATGTTGGAGAAGCTTTGCTAAGTGCTAATTGTTTTGCGTCATTGGTAGAAGTACAACCCGTTCCAGTGGAGACTGAAGAAGATAATTTACCAGATGATACAAGTCAGTTAAAATATGATGCTTTAGAACATATAAATGGATTTATATGTAAGAAGCTAAACCTATCTTCAGTAGAAAGCACTTTACATTACGTGGACGGACCAACTCTCCGAGGGTGGCTTATGAAAACCTTCAGCCGAGCTAGTAAGCGAAATATAAAAATTAGAAGCCGTATTCAACAGTGTTAATGGAGAAACCATTAGAATAGTTACACTATTTACAGGATATGATTAATCGCTCTAATCATGTTAATTGCGATGAGCAGGTCAAACGTCTATTTTTGAGATCCAGAATGTACTTTAGAATCAAGAATTTAAACAATGCGTTAAGGGACACTGGAAAACCAACCAAACGAAAAATATCGAAAAGTCAAATAAACTGCAATTGAGTTGTACCACTGCTCAAAATACCACTATACTTACACTGCTCAGTAATTCTCACAATATTTTAAGAAATATTTCGTTCCTTTCAAGGATTTATGATTTTAACCTTAGTAAAATAGTATAAGTTGGTGTATGCGCTGATAGAACGTATAGTATTATAGGTAATTTAACATGTTTATAAAGTATTAAACGTTTTTCCTCGTACATATTTGATTAAGAACCGTTTCTCCCCGTCACAGCGCTTTCAAAAACCTAAATCATGCGACATATCTTTAAAAAAGTATCTTTTTACCGGTATAGCAATGTAGTTTAAACGCGAATAACTCTCACAGTGACGTCATGCGCACAGGCGGACGAGTTTTGGACCGCTTTCAATCATACCTTATATTCCTTGTATCATGAGTGGCACTTGTGAGACACTTATCGAAGTAGTTCTAGCATGGTTCTAACTCGACAGTGACTTGGAAAAGTTGGCGTTAAGTGACGGATCAGAGGTTTCTTATGATCGACCTGTTGGTACAAATGCATTTATCATAGATAAACCCAGACAGCATTATTACATCGATTGGACGTCCATAGAGCAACGGATTTCGGGCAGCCGCATGTCCAATGCATGTCCATAATTT